TCCGGGAGCGGCCGGGAGCGCCGCGTCGACGCCCGCATCTCTAGGTAGTGGTGGAGGCCTGGCGGCTCCTGCCACCACCCGCTGTGGGTTTCTTGTTCCTCCCGGAGTGTGGCAGACGTGACTGTCGGTTGTCTGTGTCTTGCTGGTGTCCCGGAGGCGACAGCGTTGAGGTTAAGCGGTTATTATTTAAAGTATTTCCCTAACGTGAAGATAACCATTTCATTTTTAAGCATAGTTAAGCATAGTTATCAGTTTCCCAGATGTTTTCTTCCAGTTTTTCTTATAAAATTAAATTGGCCTCTGATAGGTATTTACTTACATAGGCACTGGGCGTATGCATGGTGCTTGCAAAATGGTATCCAATTAGATAGTGTTTTTATGTGTCTGTTTCAATGGATATTTTTCATCAGGAGATTAATTATGTAAAAAGCAATTTGAGGAAGTGTGGTGATTTTGTTTTGGGTCTTAGAGGTATGAGTTTTATGTTTTGTTTTGTTTTTTTCCTGAAACTTACTTTACGAAGAATTTCTTCTTCCCTTACTCCCTCTTCACACCACTCCCCCAGTTTAAAATAAGGAATATTATGTGTATTTGTATAAGTGTGAAAGGCTTGTAAAATGTCACAGTATAATTGAATCAATATTTAATTTTTACACCTAAGAGATTCCAAAAAATATTAGGAAAACGGGAAAATTATTATTTTCTTCAGTGTTTGACATGGAGGGGCAGGGTAAGTGATTTAAAAAGTATACTTTTTGACATTAATTGGATTAGGAGGGAGGAGGTCACCTAAATCCATATTATTTCCATTGAAACAAGTTACTAGTTGGAAGGCTGAGGAAATGTATATTTGCAAATTAATTTATATAGCTTGTCACTTCCTGTGATTCTAGATTCTTGTAATAAATTTAGAAAAAACGAGTGTTTATTTAGAAGCCAAAAGTGGCATTCTTTATTAAAGGAAGTACATTTTTAAAACAGCCAATATGCAAAGACACTAAGGTCTCCTTCGCAGGAATAACAGATAGATTAACACTTTGGTCACGTGGACATTGTGGTATCAGATTTTGCTTCATCTTTTATCTTCTAGCAGAAGGAGATTAAAACAAAACTGTTAAAGAAAATGTGTCTCAGTAGATTTCAGTTTGCTTTTTGAAACTAAACCAATGAATTGGTTGAATGTGTGAGAAGTTAACAAAGAAGTGGATAACTTCTGAATGAAGCAAAGCAATCTTACTGTACCTGGTGGGAAAATCTAGTATTAAGGTAGATGCCTTTTTCTAATTTCTGTAAAGATAATTGAAGTAAAACAAGGTTTTTGTTGTTGTTCTTTTTAGCCTTGTAGTTTATGTACAGTTTGCTACTTTAAACATGCTTTGCAATAATTATATTTCAAGAGAAGCATATGCAAAGTGTCAAATTTAGGAGCATCGTAACTGTTTTATGGTGGTCTAGAATGTGGCAGGTGGAACCAGGTATTCATCATTTACACTTATACTGTAAGTCCTTTAAAAAAAAGCCTGAGAACCTGCTGGCCGGCTTTGTTGGCAGGAAAAGGTAGAAATACTTAGGAGCATACTGACTTTCCAATTTTGATTCAATAAGATAAAGTCAATGCTTCACATTTATAAAGCACTTAATACTTTTAAAAAGTACTTCCACATAAATTAGTTGATTTATAATACTCACAACTATTCTCTGAAGTGAGCAAGGCACTTTATAGGTGAGAAAATAGGCTCAGAGGTTAAATGTTTGCCCCGGGTCTCAGAACTCCTAAGCCTCTTACATTACTTAACTGGGAAAAAACTGTTATTTCTGCATTGTGCTCATATAGTTACATAGATTACATTGTAACAAGAAGATGATTAGTTTTTTGAGTTAAGAAAATATAAACTCTGCAAAGATGCTTATTTGTCACAGGAAATAAATAAAACAAAGTTCTTTTTCTTTTAGGGAAAATCCAGAAAGAACCTTTGACTTGGTATTGAAAGTGAAATGTCATGCCTCTGAAAATGAAGGTATGTGTGTTTTGTTCATTCTTAAAATAACTGAGTCTATCAAAACAAGTGTTAGTGTTGTAGACTGCTAGAACATGATAGTATCAGGATAATAATGGTACTAAATGTATATTCTGCATCTAGTGTCTCAAGGTGCTGTTAGTAAAGTAGATGTTAGGTTTTTGCCATGAGATTGTAGAAACCATGAATGTTATCTGTGCAGCTTAAATTTCAGGTGTACGTTAAGGCCATATAACTTAGAACTCAGCTTTATCATTTGTTGATAGAATGATCGATCGTTTTGGCGGTAATGAACACCTTTTCATTTTCTTTCATTTGTCTTTGAAAACTTAGTTCCTTTTTTAAACATTAGTGAAAATCTCTTGCTGGTACAATGAGGCCACACCAATTCCCTTCTAATGTTTCCGGAATGCAGAATACAGACTGAATAGCCCCTTCTGTTGGATTTACTCCAGTAGCAAAGCACTTTCAGAGGGAGGTAAATAATGGTGTGACATTACTTTGGAAGAGTTTCAACTGTCAGTTCTATATAATTTCCTGCAAAGACGAGGACACTTTTGTCAGTTTCCCCCCCTATTTTTGTCATATATAATATGTGTGCATCAGGGGGAGGTGTAGTGGAAAGGAATAAGGGCCGTCTCTTTTTGCTTATTTCCTTTTTGATGTGTCCTTGTGTGATATGTTTTCATGGATATTTCCAGTGTGTGATTTCACTTGCCATGTACTTAGATGCTAGATAACTTGGCGATTAAGTGTGGGATTTTGTGGAGACAAAGATGTCCATTCTAAAGACTTGGTGGAAAGTCTGCTGACACTCTTAACTCCAGAAACTGGCCAGCAATTATATGCTCTTAAGCAATTTGGAGCTGCACACCTTAAAATAGAGGAGCCCAACCCAGCTTGTGGTGAAATGGGCATGGCTAATTTTAGGTAGGAAGTCACACATGTTCCTGACTCCACCAGCCCTGCCTGCTTTTTTTTTTGGCCTGTTTGAACTATAGCTGTGATCAGGTTTGTCCCCAGGCAGGGAGTGATCCTAGGTTGTGGGGAGCCTTTTCCAATTAAAAAGGTTATCTTTTGTTGTCCTATCTGTGTTAAAGGTGGTCTATTTACATTCTTTCCAGGCACAACCAGCTTCTCTATGAAGACTCAAATTTTCTCAGCTCCAATTTAAATCTATTCTTTTGTGTATTTATGGTATGAATAATTCTTCAGAATACCTATACCATAACATTAGTGAAGGTGGGTGAATTAATGCTTACCTGATGTGTTTGTAAAACAAGCTAAATTCCTTTAGAAAATACAATTTCTCTGTAATTTTAAATGCATGCTAAAGCAATTTTGGTACAAGCATCGATCTACCTTATATAACACACGATCTATACATGTGTCAGATTGGCACCTATCCATAAAGAATTCTGAGTGTTTTACTCCTTCCTTCCTCCCTTTGCCCTTTTCCATTTTTAGGAACTAGTTATTCCAGTTTTTATCTTCTGCTTGTGTCCTTTTATTCCTTTCTTGCCTTTTTACGGTTGTTATTGTTTAAATTACTACTCATTAGAAACATCTTCATGTGTATTTTAGTAGTTTATCCAGCATGGTGAAGTTGGGAATATAACAAATGGTTAAACACTTCAGCCTCTTTATAGGTTGCAATTAATCCATTCTACCCATGTATTCCATTAATATGACTCATGGGCAGCAAATTCTAAAGATTTTTAATAAAGCTAAAGTCAACTATATAAAAGCATAAACAATTTTTCTTCTTTTCGTTGTGACTTAAATAGTATAAATATGACTAATATTTTAGGGTCTAACAAGTTATACCTTTTTGAGCTTTAAATTTTATGTCAAATTGAGAGTTTGATGTTTCTAAATGTTTTTATTAATTTTCTACTTTATTGATAAATATTAAAGGAAACAGTCCAGAAATTATTAAAGAGAGTTATTGGAATACTCCTATTTAACTGTCAATGAAACCTTTTTATTTTAATGAGTCTGATATGTGTGTCAGTTTGTTTAAAGTAGGATAGTTTTTTGTTTTTGCTAACATTCAAATGAACATGGATGACATTCTTATATAGTAATAAACCTGGAAAACAATGTGTAAATTAGGGTGTTTGGGGGGCACAAATATAAAACCAATTTAAGTAATGAGGGAACTTAATAGTTTTTATAAGAGGAAGTCTAGAAGTAGGTCATCAAAGATCCAGGTTCTTTCTGCATCACAGCTCTGCCACTCATAGTAACTGGTGTCATTGGAAGATTTAGATTCCTTGTGGTTCTAGGATGGCAGTGAAGTTAGAACTCTACTTTCTCTTTTATGACCTTGGGGGTGACAGACACTGGCTTTTCATGGCACTCTGCTTAGAGCTAGAAAATATCTTTCCCCAGAATCTTCCAGAACATTGGATCCGGTGGCCTAAGTTGGCATGGGCTTAAACATTCCTAAAATAATCATTGGTAGGGTAGTGGTAGAGGGGTGAATGGCAAGATTATTATGATTGATTATTAATAAACAACTGGCAAGGAATAGATGTTGGGAAGTAAATGAAAATGTTCTCTACATTTCTCAGAATATTAGTTTAATTTTTTTAGATTTTATTTGAGAGAGCGCACACATGAGCAGGGAGGGAGGGGCAGAGGGAGAGGGCTTGACCCCAGGACCCCGAGATCATGACCTGAGCCCAAAGCAGACACTTAACCGACTGAGCCACCCAGGTGCCCCTATTGGTTTATTTTTTAAAGACTGTCTGTTTGATCCAATGGAAAATACCATGCTCAGGATAAATGTGGTTTATGCTAAGATTGATGATACTACATTAAGATATTTGATGTGTTTCTCTTGTTCACTTTCTAATAGAGAGGTTCTAAATTCTTTCATTTGTCTTGTGTAGCTTACTTCATAAATATCTTCAGAGAGAAATTATTATTTAACTAAGTTTTAGTTGGTGTTTTGAAATGGTATTAGTTGTTGAAATATAATTTAATATAGCTAGCTCTGGTAAAGGGGTGATCTTCATTTGACCTATGGCTATTTGGACTTGTTTCAGAGGCATTACATTGATTTTTTGAAAACAGCACATTTTAGAACACTGGGAAATAGTTTCATATGGAGGGTTCCACAAGTTAAAAAAATTGCCATGAGGGCGCCTGGGTGGCTCAGTTGGTTAAGCGACTGCCTTCGGCTCAGGTCATGATCCTGGAGTCCCGGGATCGAGTCCCGCATCGGGCTCCCTGCTCGGCGGGGAGTCTGCTTCTCCCTCTGACCCTCCCCCCTCTCATGAGCTCTCTCTCTCTCAAATAAATAAATAAAAATCTTTAAAAAAAAAAATTGCCATGAGGGTGGTTGGTTGTGTTTCCCTATCGTGTTCCCTAGGGTTAGTAGAACCGGTTCTGATGATGTCTCACAGACTGGTTGGCCCATATTTTCACGGATGTCTCCCTGGCGGGACAACTTCCCTAATAACTTCTGCTGCAGCTATCCAAGAGTGAAGTGCCAACACTTAGATCTTAATACTCTTCCTGGTAGATTTCCAAGGGACTTGCTGTTGTCACTCCTCCATGCTTGCCAGCAGTCAGTGAAGTAGAGCCAGCAGCGATGGCCTGTCCTCAGTTCCAGCAGCAAAGTTACTGTTACCACACTGCCCCTGCGTTCCCCAGAGTGGTTCAGGGCTTCAGGGAACTGAAAAGTAAGCCTTCCTTGGTACAGGGTTGCCGATGCCTCCTCTTGGGGTCTGTCTTTCAGGCAGTGGCTTTGGTGCTCTAGCTTTCTCTCTTGTATTTTGTTGATCGCTTACGTCACGTGGCGGCAGTGCGGGTGACAGGGGCGTTAGTGGCGGCCACACCATGCTAACGCGGCCATAGCGCTCTGTGCTGTGCCTCCTTCTAGCTGGTGTACGCGGACCAACTGTTCACCTCTCACACCATCCTGCGGCGTACCAAACGTCTGTCTTCATTTGCGCGTGAAGAAACTGAAGCACAGGGAAATGAAGAAACTTGGCCAAGTAGTCTGGCTCCAGAGTCTGTATTTTAATCTATTGCTTTTTAATAGATTTAATCTAATTTAAAAAATCTGCTCTATTGCCTCTCATTGTGTAGTGATCTCGAATCAGCTCGATAGAGGCTGCATTATTACCCTGTGAGGAAATAGTAGAGTTTAAACTACATGTGGTGCAGGTATATCTATTTTTAAACAGGAATACAGTGTTCTCCCTGAAATGAATGAATCAAGGGTAATTCCACATAAAAAAAATTACTGAACTTTTTCCTTGTGTTATTGATGCTGGCTCAGGATATCCCCTTTCCCCACTCACTACTCTTTTTTAGGATTTAAGTCTGTTTGTTTAGTGAACCCTTGATCTAGTAGTCCTAGCTATTTATTTGTAGTTTTCAATACATCTTTATTAGGTCTTGTTTTCTTTATCTTGTCTCTTTAGGTAGAAAAATTTCTCTTAGGAACAAATCCTCCTTTGCTACTGACTTTCCACTTTTATAAACTCATCCAACCCAGTATCAAGTTATCCACCTTTGTGATCTTTAGCTATGTTAATAGTTTAACTGCCTCTTACTTTTTTCTTAAATCAGAACTTGAGGCCAAAGAATACTAACTTAGTCAGTATCCCTCATGCCCTGCACAAGAAAGGGTATTTCTAGGCTTGCTTTTGCATTTGATAGTTTTTGTCTCTAGGGATACTGTTTACACAGAATCTCTAGCATTTTGCTTCTCCCTATATTTTAGCACTTAACTGTTCTTGTAGATGTGTCTAATATAGTAATATACCGACATATAGCTAGGTCTAAGTGTCTCTTTGCCCTGCTTAAAATAAACTCTTTGAGAAATGGGCCATGACTTATTAATTTGTTTCCTTAGAGAAAAGCTTAGCATGGTATCTGGCATGTTTAATGAATATTTACAGAATGAATAAAAGAAATTGGACCAAGCATAGTGCCAACCACTGGTCAAATAAATGATCAGATTAATTCACTGAGAGCTGCTT